GTATTCCCGCTAATGTTTCATCTGCTATGTATATTTATCAGACAATCTAACTGATACTTGTCTATTTATATCCTTAGTGTGTCGTCATGTTTCATTGTAAGCATAGCGCATTTGAAGCATTCTGCACAAAGATATCTAGGTAAACTGGATAACCAGTGCAGAAACGTCCCAATAAATAGACGCAGCTACAGATATGTTAACGTAGACTATTTATCAAGTCAAGATAAGCTTAGTGCACCCCTGTGGGAAAATGTAGAGTGATTCAAACTAAATCTGCGTGCATACTACGGCATAAACTCAATGAGCAATTTATACTTGACAATAGGAACGAGATTATATTCTCGTTAAAAAAGTGATTTTGTATTTCCTTCATTATCTCATAAATGTCGAATAGCGGGCGATTTATCTAAAGCAACATGGAGTTACAAAACGAAAGAGAAAGGAAAAGTAAAATATTATATTTCGACTGCGCAGAAGAAATGGGTGTCACATTTGTTACAACGGTGTGTTGGGAGGTGAAAAGGGTCGTTTATTATCTTGGACAAAAAGTACGCTACCTACAGAAGCAACCGGAGATTCTCTGCATAAACTGGAGTATCAGGGAATAAATGTTAATGAAGTAACAAAAGCATTAAAATCCTTTTGAATATGTTTTGGGAAACGACGAAGGAACACCACAATCAAGTTTGTAAGATATACGCATTTACAACGACAATTAGAGCACGCTGTAGGGTGAGCAATTTGAGCATGAAAGAACAAAATGATGGCTCAGTGTTTTGAAAATTTTAATGAGTCTATCTTATTCACGCTAAACTGCACTAAAGTTGACACCCAGTTACTTCATGAAACTTGAGCGAGTGATGCTTTGCACGTTTGTTTCAAATGTGATGAAATATTTATAATTGGAAGCAGCCCGTCGGGGTAGAGAAAAGCAAATGTAACTTCAAGACACTTAGAACTCATAAGGGAGAGGTATTGGCAACCAGATTAGTTCATGAAATACATACATTTCTCATTGGAATTGCAGAGCCGCCTCACTTACTGAAGACATGGACCAGAGTACGACATCATAAGTGTATTTAAACCCGATAAACCTGGTGGGTGTGGTCAGAAACATAAAATAGAACGACAAAACCGAAGCAAATAGATAAGCTCCTTGTAAGACTCCGCAATTGTCTGGGATTACTGAAGATCATCTATCGCCTTGGTGCGTTGTGTGTGTACTTTTTAAGTTGGGCATACATTGAGTTACCCGTGTACAGGGAAGGCCATTTCGAAAAAAATGGTTAGTATTAATGATGAGTTAAGCACTACTAAGACTTTCATTTAAACAAGGAACAGGGGTCGTACAGCCTTGCAATATTTATGCGAAACCGATGCACTGCAGTGCACAAATTACCAAATGGCGTCCGATAAATAGCGCGCCGATCTGTGTGTCAACTCCACTATAACATCCATATAATTGCCCGTAAAATTCAAGGAAATATAGTTTACATTCATATTTAACAGTAAGGATTTGCACCATATCGCACATCAACGCTTGCTGTAGAAAAGAATCAGGCGCTATCTTCCTCTATGAAGAACCAAATGTGACAAAATTGTGGACACTTTCTCCTGGTAAGGGACTTTAATCTGCATGGCCTATAAAACCCCGGCCAATCTGGGTGAGCAACTCAACGCGGAACTGCTAAACGTAATCGGTAATTTCCGCTGTACAACCATATCCATTCTCCACCACGTTTCAGGAAAGAAAAGAAACGTTCCTCTTGGATGTCGCTTTTAGCAACGAGAAACCGATGCTCGCCCTAATTATAACATGCACCCATTTGGAGCGCAATTCGCATGCGATACTAGTGTCCTAATGTTTGTGCTATGCTGGGGATCCTTAATAAGGTAGCGAGGAACTTTACATCTTAAACAACTAGGAAAACCTGTCCCAACTCTTTGATTTAACATGCTGGCCTTTCCTGGCCGAATCGTCTCCTTAATTGGTCTGGCGAAGTTTATCAACCGTATCAAAAACCTAGTGCCAATCACAACTGAAACCAAATTCCACCAATCCCCAAAAATGAAATTGTGACTAAGGCGCATGGTGGAAACTGTATGGCACTAAGGAGCTACGCATAACAAGCCCACGTAACCTCTCCGAGATAGGATACACGGGATGGTTATATAACACAATTGAACCATAATGTCAAAGTCTTCCGGGAGGACAAAATAAGGAACAAACAAGGCATTATTGTATAATTTAGTCTAACTGAGATCAGACGTATCGACACTCCGAAAAACTTGATATGGACAAGCTCGCAATTCCTGCTCTACACGCAGGATGCGGGTTGACGAAAATGGCACAAGTGGTAGTAACGGTTATTGGACAAAATTTGGCCGTACCTTCCATAGTCTGAAGCGATTTTACACACTTCCAGACAGCTCATGCCGCCACCAGTCCTTAACCACCATTCTTTTACAATCTCAGCTCAATTGAAACGGCTGATATGCTTGCATGAATACAGTTCCGGGGGTGTGGACAACATTGGCTCGAATGCGTTGAAATTTACTGACATGAGTTTAGACGAACCATTACGAAGGATCTGTTAGCGATTATTTAACGATTTGCAACTCCCTAGGAAATGGAAACACGGAGAAAATAACCTAAATCCCCAAAAGCCGTAGCCTGCAGAATCAGTGAAGTGTCTTTCGATGACACTTCTTCCTCTGATCGCAAAGATCATGGAGTCCATTTTACCTGAGGCACCTATGTAGTATGTTTTGAATAACCAACCTCTCGTTCCAGTAAAGCACGAATTTCGCCGAGCTCATTCCCTTACTAATAATCGGTTTATGACTCGTGCAAGCTGAACGGAATAGGTGGACACTTGCATAGGAATGGATTCAGCCTACCTTAAATTCTCAAAGGCATACGACCGCAAGGCACATCGTATCCCACTGCACCAACTCTACAATTATAGTTTTGTCCATCCTGTTCCGCGCTGGATAGGCCAACTTCTCCTTCAACTTCATATGAATGCGAGGGTTTGTAGAACCATGTTGGAACCAACTGAATTTAGGTGCTGAAAACACGCGCGTTCCTGTTTTTCATAGGTGATCTTGCAAGGGTGTGGTCATCAAAAATTCCTTTTTACGGATGATCTAACGACATGGCATGTTAGCACTACAGTGGAGGATCACTGAGCCCGACAGAATGACCCCGAACCAAGGTACACATGATCCTTCTAAAACCTGTTGCAATTCAACAATAGTAATTTCAATTGCTGAACCAACACAATCACAATTACTGCTTATGGTTACAAGTTCTACAGCGGGCCTCTCATGTGTGTAATTTTGACGGGCTTGTGCAAGAGAACTTGGGTGCTTGAGGCAGATAGAAAAGTCATCAAATAAAGCAATCCCGCACTTCGTCCTCCTTTATAGTGCTTTCGGGAAGTTTGGCAGCGCAATTTTCCCGAAGATGCTTGGCGCATATGTGAGGCTGCACACGGAATACGGTATAAAAGTTAGGCAACCATAGCAGAAGCAACACCTCACCACGCTATATACTACTTAAAGCAGGGAGACAACTAACGTCTGCGCTCTGTCTCACATTCCCTAATCAATCAGGCTGAAAGCAATCAAAATATACAGCATAGGTTATTGACGTCTAAGAGGCGATCTCAAAATTGTGTAGCAGATCCTGAGAATCCCAACCCACACATGCCATTCCCTTTGAAGCTAGTCAAAAACACATCTCTAAGTGGCCAACAAATAAAACCAGTCACGCAGTACAGCCGACTGGAATGTCGACGTAACGTTATCCCTCTCCGAGTGTGGCAGTCTTGGAGCGCACTCCCGGCGCGTGTCGCTAATGCCCCAACATTATCCCTTTACAAAACACACACTGACGATGCTCTAACACATCTACACTACGTGATATAGCTCATGACCTTAAGAGGAGGGCACTAGTGCATAACAAACGATAGACGACATTATACCCCCATAATTCCAGCAGGACTATAAGCTTATTTATTACTGCAAACCAGTTGGCCATGCATTACCTCACAAGTCATTTTACTGACACAGATTTTTTATCTTTTTTCATGTTCACTTTAACCATCCTACGAAACATCGCTTTTCTACCCGTCGTGCACCATTTTTCCATTGCTCCATTTCTATGTACTTGATGGCTACCAGTGGAGCGGTGCATGGCGGAATTTTAGGCCCGCACTACTTCACTTCACGGAAATAAAATCATCATCGTTCATTTTGGAATACTTCAGCTAACAGTAAAGGAACGAATGCTAATCACAAGTACTAAACTGATGCCAATAAGTCCTTTATACACAATAACCACATTGAGTTAAAACCAATGACGATGTGAGTTGTAAAATGTCTAGTGAATATTTTAACGTTACATAAACAGCTCTAGCTTGTGAAGTCGAATTTGAGGCTTGTTTCGTTAAACATAATGATGGAAGCATTCTCGATAGCCCTCCCCGTTCGTCGCTTAAATTTGCGCTTATCCAGTTCAAACATTTCTCAGTTATATGTGATGCCGAAATTACAAATCGATGAAATCCTCCATTTTGAGCGTTCCTTGTATAATCAAGGAACGTGAGCTCTTCATTGCCAATAAGTTAAATTATATTAGTGTTTATGTTTAATTGGCTATGCAACAATTTGTTTTAAATGCTAGTTTTAACATACAGCGAGTATTAATTATTAGCAGGTATGTATAATCTCGTCCAGATTAGTTAATGTTAAATGACGCAGGCGTTGATATATGAATAGTTGCTTTGTTCTCTTGTGGCTGACCGATACTTCTTAACATGGATGAATATCACCCAATTAACCGAGGTGAACAAAAGTGATTATTATGATTAGTGCACAAAGCGTCTTTAGAAACACGTGATATCTCAGACGGCAGCAATTGGCCAAAATACTCGCTCAGCTTGTGGACTGTTTCATGATTGGCCATCACTCATTGCTAGCTCTTACAGAAAAGTATGGACAAAACAGTTATTCAGCCAAGAGTCTCCGACATTTTGCGTACACAGATACAAAACCACCAGAATATGCTAACTGCAATCTTGCTTTGTTTCGTGCAATCTTTTCTTGGTATTTCCTGCGGTGAGTTTGGTATTGAAATTCCAAACATCTATTGCGAATTGTCTTAACGTAGAATATAGTACAAGAAGTAAGGTTGACTTAAAATATCAGTGGAAATAAGTACGGTGTGCGTTGTTCATACTAAGATGGTCTGTTGACTAAAGTGATTTCGTCGTGTGAAATTCAAAGCGCGTTGCTCAAACCGGTAATATTTTATTCCACCAAGTTTTTGACTATGTTCAGAACGTTTGTGAACTTTGCTTACAATTTTCCAACAATGTTAGCTTTCAGTTATTAACCTAGAGATTAGAACAGCGCTCGAATTAGGAGGTAACAACTTGAGTAAATTAGAAGGCAAAAATCTTAGGGAGGAAAAATATTAAGTCGAGAATCCCATCCTTTTATGCGCAAGTATTCATGGATTGGCATTTGCTTGTCGAAATTTTTGCATTAAAACTGGCCAGCTCATTACTTCAACTAAATATATTTGTCAAATATGCAATCTCCAAAGTGTAAATGTGTAGCGGGCAACATGATGTGCTCGTCCCACGTCTGAATTTTCGGTTCCTTCTAATTCGAAACTCGATGTTGCTGGGTCGACCACAGGATGGAGGGAAAACCGGATCGGACGGGGAAAAGGAACAAGGAGGCATTAGCCAACCACACAGCACATCATAAAGTAAAATCGAAACTTCATTAATGACATTTAATGCCCACGTGGTTATCTATCGAAGTGTCGATTTCCGGTTCATCGAATAATGTCACCCTTGTGATATTTGGCCAATTCTTCCGGTTGTCTATCTGATCAGCCCAATCAGTGAGCAATCGCCTGCCACGCCTTAGCTCCGTAACGTCGATGGCAGCCTCTCCTTGTTCGCTTAGCGTATTCCATCCTAAGAAACGTAAAATATAATTATGGGCCATTACATGTCTGCTAATAATGTATTAAGGACTAGTAATTTATGGTTTATAAGCATTTTCAGAGTAACAAATTACTTGTTTCCTTCACTCCCTAGACTTTGTATCAATAACGGTTGCAGGAGAGGTTGATTTGTCGAATCAAACGATTGGAGCATCCGTTGAGGCAAACTGTGGAACTCAAGTTAGTAGTTGTTCTAAACTTCATAATCCATGCTGTTCTTATTATATTTTTATCCATCAATTCATTCAGTTTCATGTACTACAATGCTTTCCTTAATTAGATAATGGCCTAATTTTATATGCATTGGCAAAGCTGCTCATTGCAAAATGTATCATATCATGCCATTTTTTCTACTGGCAAATCTGCGACGATCCTAATTAAATATAACCTTTCAAATCACACAGCGTTCAAAATTTGGTCACAATCTTGTGGGTCCATGCAGCCTTTATAGATGGTTCTACGAACCAAGAATATTTGAACTAACATGCGTTTGTGAGGCGCATGATGAGGAGTTCGCAAATGGAACTCTCTTGCAGAAAATGGATAAATCATTTGGGATTCCCTCAATTGATCGAGTGAGATTTGCTGCAGGTGAGTTCTAATTATATACTTCCGCACTGAAACATTCAGGTGGCATAGTTATTAGCATGAGTTAAATAAACGCAAGAAAAGGATACACTTCGCATTAAGCACATGTGTATAAGCCACAGGATCTATTTGACCAATCGCCAGTATATGAAATCCGATTTATGTAAATGACAGGAATTACATATTAATTTCTGTTAGCATAGACGTACCGTTAGTAACTGTTCATCCGCTCTTTTTGATTTACCATTGATTCAAGGTGCTGATGTAAAGCAAGGGTGTTTCGGTAAGTCGCATCGGAAGTTATTTCCTTATTTCCAACTTTGGCGAGTCATTAAAAATTATGTGGCAGAGAAATGCACGTTAGTGTAGTCCGTTTAAACCCCCCTGAACTTTTCTGGTTATCTAGATGTATCAATCTGAACGATCGCGTTGTAAAATAATTGATGTAAAGCTTACAATATGTTAAAATGATTGCTGCCGAAAATAATTACAAATTTGAGTAATCTTTCATTCGCAAGTCTTCATACTCCGGGTGTAGTTGAAAGAAGAGTGCTTTTACAAGATTAACAACAAATTCCATCTATTTCCTAGCTTCCTTGTTCAATGAAATTTGTTGTCATTTTCAGATAGTTTACAGAAGATTACTGTAAATGATAACTGGATCAATTTTCATTTCTCGCTGTCAAATATTTTGCGTATTTATCAGCGAAATAGTATTCTTAGTTACTAATTTCTATAAGCATTCCGTAAAGCCGGCTTCACTTGAGAACTCGCGTGAAACTGTACACTACGTGGGATTAACACATACTACTTAAATGTTGTCAGTAGCATGAACTATTCAATATCCGTGGCGTTAATTATATTACGCTTAATATTACTTTTAGTTACACGTATAATCTTAGTGAAGAGATATAGGCCGGGTTAAATATAAACAGCCCTAACTGCGGAAACCACTTACGCAGAAGAAAGTTGTACCTGATTGAGTAGCACGAGACGTAAACTTGTCGTGCATATATAGTATAGCTTAGAAAATTCACACACAACGTAAACAATGTCTTACCGTTAGCAAGTTGAGGCACATCCATCCGCTGACCCGCTTAGCGTAGATCGTCTTTTATTTTGCAGTATATGAACTGAAAATTCGGACGTTATCCGATCCTGTGCAAACTGCTCTTGGCCTGGTGAGTAGAACTTTGCCGAATGTTGGCTATCCATATGAAGTGGCTTGACGATTATAGTGAAAGCGTGTCCCATAATATTAGAGTGTTTAGAAATAGGCATCATATTTCTTTTCACGACACTTCAATTGGACTTCGTTCTTCTATTGCAAATTATCTACTCATAAATATGTAAGGAGTTGACCAACTCAGCGAATTGTCTGTTTGATTTCCTTCGTAAATACATTTTTTTCCTACATTAGATAAACCGAGCTCCGTTATAATGATCTAGCGTGCTTCGCAATGGGTCTACCCTCAAATGATCTTATCTAGGTGTACGGAATCTTTGATATATGGCTGGCTATCCTTTTCTCTGATACAGTTCTCCGGTGCTACAACGAATGCGGTCACGGTGAGAAACGCCAACTGCAGCCTTATACAAAATGAATCATCTGCCTACTACTGTGTAACAGGGCATTGCAATGATGGCTTAGTTACTTGGGAGTATCCGGAGAATTGGAGCGGTCCTGTGCGATACCTTAGAAATATCGCTTACAATGCTTCTGAAACAACTGTTCATGTCCTTGGAATGTATTGGCCGGAGGAACTGCGTAAGTGCTCCTTTGTCTGTAAATCACTTCCGTTTATGGAAGCAAAGACCAAGTAAATTTGAACATTTACCACTGATCACAACGAAACGCAGTAACCAGTAAAAACATACACAGGTCAAATTCGAAAGCCTGTAGCTATGACAATGTTAGAACAGCTGATTTATCTTATGAATAACATTAACTTTATTAGGTGAAACAATGTGGCACGCCAGCGGACCTTTGTGCTCGCAAAGCAATTTCTTCATGCTAAAGGAAATTATACTGACCAATCTCTGCATATTTCTCACCTTCATTTGGCAGCCGTTAGTTCCAAACAGCTCTGTGAGTTTGCAACATTTTGGTTTGAATGAGCAGCCGCACTTTATTGGTTGGTTCCACCTGATAAAAGCTGATGCACTTCGCAATATCATTAGTATTATTTGAAGACTAAAAATATTTACTAAAATACACATTCCATTTTTGACATTCCATATGTGGATAATATTTGCCAGCTAGATATTGTGGTGCGTATGAAAATTCACTCGAACGGATGCACCCAGTTACCTGTTATTAACTCCATAATGTGAAAATTTATTTCCTCTATAGACGTGGACACGGCCGTGCTAGTCGAGGCAGACACGACCAAAATCTGCAAGACGTTTCTCACATCTGCAAGTTCTCCCTTTACTGAATGTTTTTATAGGTGAAAATAAACATGAAAATCATCGGTGTTTAGCTGTCCACCTGGTTGGATACTTCAACTGCCATGTATCATATATCGTGCCTAATAGTTTTGGCGTCATGCATTGAATTTGATTGCCAGGTTCTTATGGGAAAACTAGTCCAAATGTGGGACCTTAAATGAATGAATTAGTTAGGACTTATATTCGAACTTAAAAGTACCTGTTGGATATGCCAGCATGGATTAAGTCGGATGGTGTATTTCAATTCAAGTAAGCACTTTATGCACAAAGGAATATGGATAATTAGATTTAGCACACCACACCATCAGATAATACACCAGGATGTGTACAAAGGTTTTGCATTGGGAAAACATGATGGAACAGACATTACTGAATAATGTTTTTTACAAGTACTTGAATGGGTGTAATTTTAGTGGTCAACTGACAAAACAGATGCAGAAATACTGAGATTATCTTAGGGGAAAATAAGCATGGAGCCACAATAGTTCCCAAATGGTGATCAGTAACCGAGGTGAAAGAAACGAAATTTTTCCCAAACTCCTGTCATTTTGGTTAGGCCTGGTGAAGTAAACTGGCAGCAAAACAGCAAGCGAAATACTTACTTAAGCTAATAGATAGTGTAACAGAATCTCACGATTTACACAACCGAACTTTTACTAAGTTTCGGAAAGTAGATGTGGATGGATTTGTCATTATTATCCAGCGTAGTGCAACTGCTTCTAAGGTCGACCTATCGCTGCGATTTACAAAACTATGAAAGTCAACCAAATGTCTGATTCTAGATTCTATTGGGAATAAGTCCCTCCAAACAGTCCAGTACAACCAGATGGAAGCCGTTGGCCGGCATTTTCACACTCCTTTCATTGGCGCTGAGGTGATGCTTGCCCTTCGCCAAAAATAAGTAGCGTTTAACTTCTTGAAGAACAAATTTACAAGTCGAAGCTAGGCCAGTCCATGTGGCCTTATAGAGCAAATGCGTACAACTTATTCGGACTAGGTGCCTTTTTCATTTGCTATCCTATTTATTCTTTCACACAGTTAAGTTGTTCACAGAAGTTGGGTTAACAGAAGTTAGCTGTGAATCAGTAAAAAAAATCACACATTTTGTGGTTTAGGTTTCCCACATCCTGGAATGAACGTATGCTCATACAGATTAGTTCACTTAATTTATGCAGCATAATCACATGTTGGCTAGTTATCCTTGTCAGGCAGTATATATGATTCTTAGCGAATTTTGTGTGACACGTTGTCGCACGACAAGAGCATTGATTGAGACCGCGTAAAAATTGAAATGATCATGAGGCTCCGAGCTCCTGTGCACACTTGATTACCGGCATGTTTCATCGGATTAAAAATGTGATGTATTAGATGCTTAATCGCGTCCTGCCTCTACTCCAGATGTACTTCAATCACCTAAAGCGGCAAAATATTTATCCGGGCTCTAGAGCAGTATAACATAAATTCCGTCGGTTTGCTGTCACTCTGATTATGTTACTGTTATGAAGTCAAAAATTATTTGAACAGATCTGAAGTGCATGGTTTTCCTTGTTAAATCTTCGGCCCGTGTTTGCGTTCATTTGGATTCAAAATTAGATTAACTCACCATTTAGCTGCTTTTAAAATTTGGCATGTGCCTTCCTCGAAGACTGATATTTATACAACTAGACTTACCATTGCGTGTGATTTGGTCAGTAAGTTTATACCAAATGGAAGGTGGACACACTTAATTCTGTAGGGTATTACTGCATGTATTTCACGTTGACCGAGGTGTTGGATAAATACTGCCGTTATCAGTAAAGTGAAGCAAATTGCCCCAAGGTAGTTGATATTTTGAAATTTACAACCCAATTAATTCCTTCCTGCTGTTTAACGTGTTTGATTAACTATAACCTTTTCATATATTATTTTTCTGGCTGTTCATCTGAGGTAGATGACGAAATATACTAAGCATACTTAAGTCTATATTGTAGTAATTAACACAACTTTGATCTCAGTAATCTTCCACGTCGCTTACAATAGCTTGGCGGTCAGTATTCACATAATTATCAGGGGTGTCATTGAGTAGTTGCTTGTCGTCCGCATAGGGTAAACATGACACGTGAAATCCGGTTCTCCTAACTGTTACGTGCTTTGTAATTTTACCACCCTAGGTCCCCTTCCAGGTGAGTGAACAAGCTATTATTGACAATGCCTGTAAAAGGTTTACGAAGCTTCTACACTGCCATAAGTAGATGATGAATAGCTTTGATTGCATCCTATTGATTAATTCAGCAAATCAACCACCTGACTTTTAGTGTAAGTAAGCATATTTCTATAACATACTAGTGTATAACTTGATGAACTAATCGGTTTTGTTTTGTTGCATTCCAGTTAATAACGAAATGTCGTGTGGAATTCCTTGAGGAAACATCTGTATATAAACCTGCTCACTTAGCAAAACTAAACTTGTTAATGTCATCAGAATTCGGTGAAGGATTAACGGCAGAAGAGAGACCCTTGTACTTAGCCGGAAGGCTAAGGCAAATTAACCAGGTCTGTATATTTCCTGTAAACATCCGGGAGAAAACTGCCTCTTATGGTAAGCCAAGTAATTTGGTGTCAACAATGATTAGCCATTTGTTATTCCTTAAAAGCTGGCAGAAATACCGATATTATTTTCACAACATTTGCCTGACATATGGCATTGATGCATTCGTATGGACTGAAATATTTTAAACCTCACAGCACCTAAATTATTCATAACTAATTTTTATCCTTAATGCTAGTTTATACATTGATAAGATCCATTTGACCCATTTGTTATAAGATATTTCAGGGTGGTAGATAGCTTTTGCAGAGAAACCTTTATTTTCGATGTACTAAACGCAGCGTTTTCTCATCGACAATATATTTAGAATGACAGAACTAATGTTTTTGAATTTATGAACTATCATTGTATTTGCAATATCAATAGTTTACAGAACGGTTGCGTAAACATATATTAAGTTTGTTACGTACGCGAGCCAAGTTCTTTATTACGATAAAGCAAGTTTCCAACTATCGTAGTTCCACGATCACCGCTGTGCAACCTGCTAATTGGAATTATACTTTTGTGCTAATTGCTACCTCTACTGTAACAATGAGGGATCATTCTAATAAGCTTTTAAATTTAACCTTGAATTATGGTCAAGTGATGGGATTTTGCATAACCACAATTCTTGGATTGTACGCTGTCCCCCATTGCAGTCATATAACCTGAACATTCTATGTCGACAGATGCAATTGCCAACTCCATAGCAGGAGCAAAAATTGCATTCTGCCTTTGCACTTTAAGAGCGAGCAATGCAGCTTGACGGTATTATATATATTTGGAACACAACTAAAGTGTAAATGGGCCAGGGTAAGTCTGAATTATGGCTTTGGAAGGAGTGAAATGAAACGGAAGATTTCTAAGGAAACCTGGCTTCATTAATTTGCTACAGATATTGTGCAGCGCGTTTGCAGGAAAAGGGTTTAATTAAAACCCCATCAGTACCAATTTCCTAATTAACCGTTGTGTTCTATTTAGAGATTATCCGAAACGGCACTACACTTTGAACGGCTACCAACTGTTGATGGTGAATATGGAATGAGCAAGTGTATTGCATGTCACGGATAGAGAATTGGTGGTATGCCTCTCGGTAGTTGCAATAAATTACTCGAATCCTGATGGAGGCACGATTTAGAATCACATTCGTGGTGTAAATTACATCAATACATAACTTTCCAGCTAGGATGAAGCGCTTTCGCTCACTACATGGCGTCGCCATCGCACCAGAAGTTGCAAGATCGCCAAGTGGCGAACAAAGCAATGCTGGGATACGTTTCCCGTTTCTAAACCGACGCTATTTGTACAGGAGAATAGTGAGCTGTTTGAACATCAGCATCAGTTGTGTACACTAATGTACTGGTTTTTGAGAGAATGATACGCAGGTAGCACCACTAGACATCCAGCCAAAAGCGTCCCAAACTATCATCTACGTATTTGGGTCATGTATATAGTAAGACCTGTATCAAGGCGCTTGGAGCCGAAACCCATCACACCAGAGCACTTTAGACTGAGGTGAGTAAGGTACGTTAGCAATGGCCCACTTGTGTACGCGGAATCGATCGCTGTTCGTCTTGTTGACATCGATTGTGTGCATACACATGCTTAATGTGTATATGCCAGTGATTTGAATTATTCCGGGTTATTTGAGGCCGCTTCTAAGTGAGCCAGTAGTCCCGGAAAATCAATAGACCACTGCTAGCTTTTCTCAAGACTTATATCGGGTGTTATAAAAAATGTTAGGCCTTTCAATACAGGCGAATACAATGATATGAATTAGGTAAACGTGATAAGTAAGGGAACGCTAGGATGGGATTGGTTGTCCCAGCGAACTGGATCAATAATCAGCTCCATGCGGTCACTAGTGCGTATCCCTTTAAATAACTGTGATCGCAAACAGTATCTGTTAGCACCACTAGCTGCTCGTGCAACTAAGCCATATGGTGGAATACGCGGTTCTCTGACCATCATGACTTAAAACCTAAGGGCGTTATGGTAAGTTGCATCAAATTATCAAGCCAAACACGTTGCAAACGAAGCGTTGTGCATAGCTTATTTGGACTATGGAACTCTGCGTCAGTTTTGTCCACTGCAACATTCAAAACTAACAGTTCAGTGGAGGATAACTTGCTCTATAGTTAGCTAGCATGTAATCCATGATGATCAGCCCCTCCCATGATTCATTGGCAGAAACAGTTGGCTATTAGCCATGACCACTAACAGAAGTCGGTCGGATTCAAATAAAACCGTGGGATGCGTTTTCTTATTGATTCCCGATAGCATAAAAAGGATATTTGGTATATTTGGTGTTCACTTATTTCGTGGAATAAAAGATTTTCCGTGAAATCTCTAACCGGTGCTGACAACAAGTGGGAAAACTTTGCAAAAAGGGTACTAATTTAATGCTGAAATTTACTTATAATTGTTGCTGCAGTAAGTTACAAACCGGCTTTCGAATTTTTGCACATGTATTCCAAAATCTGTCGACATTTCGGGGGTTTGTTTTGTGGAATGTGCTGTTAAAATCAGTGCCTCCCTAAGAAGTGTATGCTGGGTGCTGACGACGGTAACGCATTGGAAAAGCTTTGAGTTAGACGGAGAGTATCCTATGGCGCTGCGTGTTAAACACAACATCTTGATTTATAACGTTGTCGAGAAGATATAGCCATGCAGTTGATCCTCAAGCATTTCCTTATCCTGATCTATGTAGCGAAGGTCGCTGACTATGTGTTGCCTCTTGCTGGTATGTCCTCTTCCTGTGTTATATTTTTAGCTACCTTGCCTGTGATATATGAGTTGTTCTTTGTTTGACACCCAATTCGGTCTGGTGAAGGTTGTTTTGACATTTCTACACCCCGTGCAAACTAGGTTTTAAATTTTCTGATATCCAGTTATCAATGGAATGTTTATGTCAATTCCATGGGTAGATTCAATGATGTTAATTTGCAATGTAATACTGGCAAGTGCAAGCGTTGTACTGTAAGTGCCTACTTTAGTACGACGGTTTATCCAGGGATTCTTGAATCATAGGTGTATACATACCGTATGCTGATAAACCCATGGTAAAACGAGCGGCACTTAGTCAAGCAGAAAGAAGGTTGTACAGTGACACGAAACTCTACATTTATGAGCCATGCTTTCTTCTATAATCCATACTACTCCTTTCTGCGTCGCTTCTCCCTGGCTTCCGCGCTGGTCACGCGTTTTCGTTCATTGTTCTGTGCTCCTCGGTTCTGCGTCGTTCATCCAACAGCAACCCGTTCGTGACAGTGATGTGGATTTACTCTGTGTGTCGTATTTCGGTGTACGTGTACCAGTGGTCTGTGTCATCCGGTTGGTAATTTGCAGTCTATGGGCCTGATACAAACACCCTTATCCTGATTGTTGGCGATGCTACTCAGCTTTGTGTCTGACCTCTTCCTTCCCTCTTCCAAATATCGCTCCTATGCCCGTGGGAGGTCCGTGCCTCTGATTGGTTGTGTGTTGTGTATTAACAGTCATACAAATTGCTGCATCATCGGTTGCTTGTTAGTCTGCGGACTGGGAACTAGGCATTCCGACTTACTTCACAGCTTGCGTCTCTGATCGGCTGAATTGTGTGTTGGCCGTTATGTGTAGTAACCCATCATTGACAGAATTGCAATTAATTGATAACGTGCGACGCCCAGCTACGGAATGAATGCAGAAACATGCATCATCTTACGACTTATCATTCATTAGCCAAATAATTTTATACCATTACCATTGTTTTAAGGGACACACATTAACTCAAGTTATAATTTAGTTATTCGTGATAATTTTTTCACATGCATTCGCCAAATGATGGATGTAAATTTTGCGTTCCACAGTGCCTTCTAACACGGTCATGAACGGAAAAAGCTTAGGTGAGCTATGCCACAAAATTTTGACCGCAAGCAAGGTTTATCCTAACAACATAATATCAAGCCGCTCTCTTGATGTTATCGGAGCCTTGCTTGGTTTATACTGCACAAAATGATATTTTTGACTGTTATTTGTTCTAGCCCGGATAACCAGATTAAACTGTTAAAAATCATATTATGCTCCACCATATTTCGATAGAATTTCGGGTGACATTCCACAAGTCAGGGATAAAGTGGTGGCGTGGAAGAAAGCCAAATGCAACAGTAATGTGTCAAAGAGTAAGTATTTTTCGCATCCTAAATTTTGGCATAATATTCTCTTAAGCCCTATTAACTAAAGCCGTGTGCAATGATGCTTCTTACTATGTTATGCCATACAAGGCAGGGAAAGTGATGTATGTTACCTTTCTCTTTTGTTTATCGCCAGCTCAAAGATATATCTGGTCTGATAAAAACCTGCATTGAAGTCACGATGCATGGAGACTATGGATTTGCTGATGTTTTGTTAGGCCCAACGACTATCACTGTTTGGGAAGCGCAAATACACCTTATGACCCAGCTGAACGCAAACGATAAAAGACGATGCAAGTTCAATGTGGCAGTCAAGCCGATCATCAAAGGTTACTAAAAGGATAATGAAAGTTTATGCCATTTTCTTGTTTACTTGCACAGACTGAATGATGAAGCACAAACTCCAATGTAATCTGGATTAAACCGTTTGGTTGCTTCCACACTTTAGAGCGGAATACTTGTTATCTGAAATATTCATATAATACATTATTCTTAGTTGGTGAATAGAAAGGAAAGCATGATCTTGCTTGCTGCAACTGCAAATTATTTTGACTGGAAAAGTTATAACAAATTTGGAATAAAAATGAAGTCTTAAAGTCAGACTGGTTTTCTCTTATTACTATAATAACTGAATGGGAGATAATCAGTAACTACAATCAGTGGCTTAAACTGAGCCGGTTTTCAATACGCAAAGAAGTTATATTTTACTCCACTTTACACACAATATTTCGGTTGAAATTATAGCTATCGAAAGTACATATCAGCCATATATATATATATATATATATACATATATATATATATATATATGTATACGCATAGCAGCATTCAGTTCCGGATGTACCTGTCACCGTGGCCTCCAAGGGGTTAGCATCGAAAAGTCTGCGCCTTTAGATGGACAATGGGTGGCTTGCACTACACCGTCCACAGCTCCATACAGACACCCCATATCCACTGTTAACCCGAAGGAATATGACCGGGAGGTACATGGATGATAGCCGCGTTTCATCAACGGAGCGGGCACACACTCTTTTATCATGCACGGCAGCATTCTTGCCTATCTATGTAGGAATTTTTGCTTACCGGTTCGAAATCAAATGCCAAGGATATTATGGCGATATCACTGGCTGTCGCTTTCGGAGAGTTGTAGGTGCAACCAGAAAGTATTGTAGAGGAGGCTGCAGCTACTGGCAACTACAAAGATACTGGGATTTGGTATAACAGTTAGTAGTCGCCGAACTCCGCTGTGAAGTTCTGCTGGAGATATAAGATCCACCCACCACCCTTCTTTGCGCTGTGAGCTCTTCGAAATAGATAGTTGTTAGGAATTTCTATAGTAGCATCCAGTGTATCAAGAAAGCACCATGTATCAGTGAAGAAGATTACATTTAAGGTGCTTAGCTGAGAAAACATGCTTACAAATTGCAACTTGTTTTATCGCTTTTAAGTTAATACTTTTGAGTGCAAATGTGGTGTGTACAAAATGGTGTTCAGCGAATACTTCGGAGGATTTGGAATCAGAAATGACAGGCAAGGAAGTTACACAAGGGACAGTTGGAAACCATACCCTCAATGAAATGCTCAGTTGTAAGGGCACTGTTCGCGCTAGTTATACGGTCATTACGACCTATTGGCGTGATTGTATCTATCCCGTTGACCATGTGTTCTTCATTAATGAGCCTAAGATCCATTGTCGACAGCTCGTTAACAGTTAGAAATCTGGTCTGTTAGATTTTACGATTGTACAGAGGGTGGCTTACAATGAGCTATTGCAAGCAGGATTAAATTGAGTACCGTCCGTCGCTGGCGTTTCTATGTCTTGCACATTGAATCGTCCAGCGGTATGAACGGGAGTGTAGGACTTTTCCAACACAACCTGAAAGACGTGGCTCAGTTTGGAGTCCATTTTCGACGTAGAGCTTGCTGGGCGTTAAATTACATCTAGTAGACTGTCATTGTTCCGCCACCATAGGTGGCACCAATTCGAAGCATGAGAGTGGATTTCAGAGCGATCGATAAGTTAACGTCGGTGATTAGTATTATAATACGGAAGCACATCCCCAACTTCTCCAAACAAATCATTTCGAAACAGCGTCATAAAGGTCAAATTGATATCAGAACCGGTTAAATCAGGGTTTAAAATTGTCTCTGTAATCATGACGAGATCCAGCGGACAACTTACTTAGAAGGCCTTGGGCGTTTATGTACCTACAGGATAATGTTTTCGTTGTTAGGAGGGCATTGGTGGGTGCCAAAAAGTGTTTGATTTTTAGCCGAACGTTCGGTGACCTTCGTTTATTCGTCCTAGGTTTTTGACTTTCCGTCAATTTGTACCACTTTCTTGAGAATTACTGAACAGAAGTTTCGCTCGTACTGCAATCTGTTCTGTTGTGTTGGTCTCTCTGCAGCACTGTGCAAACAAATAATTGACGGCGTTTGAAAGTGATAGCAAATTGATTGTAACTGGTGGGCGTGCGTCTGCTGCCTTTAGATGGATAACATTTGAAAATGTGACTCGAAATCTTGACTAATTATCCAATGAAAGATGCGGCATGTCCTCGGAATCTAACCCAAATTTCATTAATGTTGCACCACAGTGCTTGTAGTTGGGTGATGACAGAACTCCTGTCAAGAAGTCGGCAATAACATTGTCCAGAGGTAGTGCTTGGCGGATCTAGCACCATCGTTGTTGGTCATGTGGTTAGGCATCATGAGTATGAGGTTCCCGACTTGTAGGTCGACCCAAATTGCCGTTCTAGGCAGGCTGCTTTTTCCACACCTGCTCTGTTAATCGAATCAAGTGTCTTTTCCGGTGCTATTGTTCTAGTATTTTTATATATTTTTAGCGTTGTTTGGCCACAATTAAATTGTGATCTTACTAATCGCTGAGGTTATTAGTTCCATTGCGTTGATCATGACCTCTCAGATAGAATACAAGTGTAGTGGTTCTACATGTGACACGCTAGTCACGAAAGGAATTCAGTGCGATAAGTTCTTACTCTGAAACCATAATACTTGTTCTAGGTTATATCAGGCTGGTATTGATTTTTACGCTCATTATATCCTATTGAATTCACCGGGTTTGCATTGCGTTTGCCTAGCTGACTTTCACTTCCCTATACTAAGTGATCGACAGGCTAACGAATAAGCTGGTTATGATGGGGAGTATTTGCCAAGGCTTAATGTAGCAGGACGGTTAGTACAATGGCAAAGATCATTTATCGACGTGCTGAGAGTGCGATTTGAGGAATTGAAATTATCTCTGGAAAAAATTTTGCGGGGTGATGCAATTGCAATGGGCAGCCAGAGGAAGGTGTATATTCACAATCATGGGGAGCCGGTAATACGAGGGACTATAGTTAGACTTGTTTGCATAAAAGGCGGAAGCAAGAGATTCCTCGAATTGCCGGTAGAATGTTCCACTTTAGTATAAAGAGAATACACAGGGTGAATCGTTTGCACTGTTGCAGAATCCCTGAGTCATGCGAACCTTGTAAGGCCGATTTTTGTGGGATTAGATGGCCCCAATTACCGGGATTTACTGCTTAGCCGGACCAGTGGAATCTCAAATCCTATTAAAGGTCGATATCACGTACAACAGACACAGCGTTTTCAAAGGAAAAGGTTGCTCAAACAACTACAAGGAATGGTACTATGGATTAGTATACACCATTAGCTAGCGTGGCTCTAGTCCAGGAGGCCTTTGCAAGCAAAACTGTTGCTCTCACTTTTGTTCAAGAATACTCTGTAGGGGAAAATGGAAGGGTAGGAGCGACCAACAGACAATATGATGGTCACCCACCTGTAACAATCCCCGTCTGCAAATGGGATGGGAACTATTTACGAACCTATGGTGCACATATTTGTAGAAAAAGTGGTGTATTTGGGCCTATTCAGAGGGAAAAGAGAAGATAATTGGTGAACGGGGCAACAAATAGCGCGGTTGAAGCGGTTAGCCAGATTCATCCTTTGGCGTTCTGCTGGGACCCGTTACTGATGGAGAATGTCGAACAACTGAGGTAGACAATCGCCTTGAAATTTTCTTGTGAAACCTAATATCCGCTGGGGTCTTAAGCATAAAGTGAAGCTTAATGTTTTGAGGCAGAGGAATTATCAGCGAGGACAGCTGAGAAGGTAGTACACTTATTGTTACGGCATAAGTAATGGGAAGTGCTGACGTTTCGTTGTAGGCTTTTTGATGTAATTGCAGTTAGTGGATCATGAGTCACCCAGAGTGATCCTCTCTATAACTTACTAAATGGCCTCTTTGAATATAGTATGGACAAGCCTGACCATCAGGCAGATGTGAATGTGCTTTTGCTTATCAAGAATCAAAACTCGAATTGGGAGGCCCCTTTCTTCATGTCAACAGCTTGTATGCAAGTGTTTTCGTGCTTTCTGAGGTTGGATGGACGGATGGAAATAACTAGTGCATCGTAACCTGTTCTCTAGGCGATTGGAAGATAAGGGGCTTGATAGAATGCTTAAACAATCAGTGGTAGCTGCATTGCATCGATGATGATCGATGACTTAAATCTCTTGCATGCATATTGGGACCATGCAACTTACACGATAGATTCTCTAGAGCGAGACCTGGTAGAATGGGTGCATGAGAATGGTTATGTCAAGGATGTTAACTTGTAGCAGTCTGGAGATTCCCCGGTTTACTTGTGTAAAATTCTAACCAAAATTCTATAATTGTACACTTAGGCAACCGGTGTGGTTTGTTGAACTGCTTGCTGAGTTCGAATGCTTTACTTGCTCATCGCCATTTTTGCTTGGCGCTCGCTTCGGTTGCAACGCGCGACTGCTCTGTGTGCTGTGCTTGATCCGTTTCCCTAGCTAGAGCGTCCACGGTGTCGTTCGTTTATAGCTAGATAACAGGGAATCTTTTGCTGAACCAATAAAAGTTTCCCTGCAACTCGATCCGTCTTCTCGAATCGCTCTCTGGGCTCCCGGAATAGGCAACCCTCTAAATTGGTGACCCCGGATCCGGAGCAATCTCAACGCCGGATATTTCGAACTTTTCTCCGGTGAGCTCGTTCCATTTATTTTTCATATTTTCCGGTTTTATTTTTGCATACGGTAGCCTATTTTTTCGCGTCATTTTTTCAAAACATGAAATCTGTAGACCATAAGGTAGAGTCTATGCTTAGTGTTGTATCTCTCTCAGTTCCACCTTTTTGGGACATGGATCCTGTTTTGTGGTTCGCTCATCTGGAGGCTGAGTTTTATAACCACAGAATCACTTCCGACTACGCGAAGTACTGCAAGCTCCTGTCCTATCTCCCCAAGGAGATATCAACGCAGGTTCGTGACGTTATCATTTCTCAGACC